TGGGTTACCTGAGCACTCAAAGCGCTTTATACAACTTGCCCCATTAATACACCCATTAATATAAGCATTTGTGAACACATAGGGACTCACACATAGGGATTGCTTTTTCTTTAGTGTTTATGCACACAGTGCTTCTGATTCGGCACTGATGTTCTCCAAGCGTCCTCAGCTTTCCAGCTGACTGCCCTCACCTGTCGGGCAGATTTTGCCCCATGGTAGGATCTCTCATGCCAAATTGGTCCTGAGTGAGGGACTAGAGTAAGTATTTCAGAAGACCCTTATGAGTACAAGACCAAGGGAACAGTTCACCCTGCCCAGGATAGGGTTACCAGGGCCCCGTCCTAGAGCCAGGCCCGGGGAGGGCGGCCAGTGAGCACCTGATGGCCATATCTTAGGCCATGGGGCCTGGCTGGGCACACCCTCCTGTAGGCTCACCAGCCGCCAGAGGCACCGAAGCGCTTAGGTGCAGCGTTTGCTGGGTGGCAGCAAAAGACAGAGACCTTGGCAAACCGATCCCTGGTTACCAAGACTGACAACCGCTACATTGAACATCACCTTTCTGCACCTTTTGGTCAGGGAAGGGGTCCTCACTGTCATCTGCGCTTATGCACAGAATGACAGTTCAGGGTACCTGGCCTTCTTGGAATCTCTGAGATTCTTTTAGAGATTTTAACAAAAATCCTTTTTGTAATGTCAAGTTAAGTAACATTTTTTGTAGCTTCTTATATTTGACTTAAAAAAAAAGAAAAGAAACAAAAGTGTATAGATACTGTTACAGTTATGTAGAACTTGTCCTTTTCAAGGCAACATTAATTAATTTAAAAAAAAGTCACCTGTAACCTCAGGTAGCTAAAGATAGAACAAACAATACTAACCAGTACTTCATTACCTGTGATCTGTCTGCTGAGTGGTTTGTAGTGATTTAATTAATCACAAATAGTTAAAAACCAGGCAGCCTAAGGCTGTTTTTACTGAGTTTGAGCTTGTGACTGTCTCCAATTTAGAGGATGTGATTCGCCATATTAAGCCCGCAGGTTCCCCCCGGGATCCTATCCCTCCACAATTTTTTAAAGAAATTTTTCCTAGTATAGCGCATTCTGCCCCTGCCATTATTAACAGTAGTCTGTCCTCTTGTGTGGTTCCTGCAACCTTGAAACATGCAGTAGTGCAGCCACTGCTTAAGAAACCTGGTCTTGTTCACACAGTTTTAGCTAATTATAGGCCTATTTCCAAGCTACCTTTACTTTCCAAGGTTTTAGAGAAAACTGTTTTTTGTCAGCTGAAAGATTTTCTAGATAATAATGGCATCCTTAAGATTTTTCAGTCAGGTTTAAAAACACTTCATAGCACAGAATCTGCATTATTAAGGGTCTTTAATGACATCCTTCTGGCATGTGAGTCTGATAACCACATTGTTCTGGTCTTGCTTGACCTAACTGCTGCCTTTGACACAGTAGACCACAGCATCTAATATCTCGATTAGATGATCTAGTGGATATTGGTGGCACTGCATTTAATTGGTTTAGGTCTTATGTGG